TCAATCTAAAAGTTCCTAATATGTGAGACTCTGCTCTGGGATGCAGGCCTAACCAACATCAATGCAGTGATGCTTCCTCCAAACTGAATGGAAAGGGCATACTTTTCAGAAGTTCAAAGTAAAGCGTGGACCCTAGCTATGAAAGTTTCAGTCTGCCTCTGGGCTTTGACCACCAAGTCTAGCCTTGTCTGAAGAACTAGGTGGCAACCCAAACACACAGTAGATATTCTTAACTAGGTCAGCAGAGGAGAAAAAAACAATACCAATCTCTTGTTTGGAGGAACCACATTAATTGCAGAGTGTTGACATAAGTTGCATGGGTAAAAAAAAGTTGTCATACATTTCCATTTTAAGTAAAGTTTGGGCTCGAATGCCTCCACAGAAATCACATGCTGATTATTAGTTCCAGGGGTAAGCTAGCACTAATAAAATATATTGTGTTTCTGCTCATGAACAGATTCCGTTCAATCCAAGTTGATGAATTCTTAGAAGAGCTAAGGAGTTAGAATTGTCTTGAAAAGCTCCTCGGAATAACAAAAGACTTTGTAATTCCAACAGGAAATGGTGTGTGTTGAAAGAGGAAAACAGATCCGCCATGCTACACAGATAATCCCATCTCATTATAGCTTCTAGAATCTGATCAAAGCGAAGGGACAATCATCTTAGTCTTGCCTCATGAGACTAACTAAATGTGCCAGGAAAAGATTATTTCCCCTGAACTATGGCTTTGACCAATCCTCCAACTTAAAGGCCGGATTCACAAAGGAGGTTTAAATATAATAAATCGTGGGTTAAACTTAAACCTCCTTTGTGAATTCGGGCCAAAGTGATCACGCAGACTTTTTAAATAGGAAAGGAGCTACCGGTACACTAAAATTAAAAAAAACTTTTCTTCAGGAATAATCTCACTTGAACAAAAGATTCATAAATAATACAGCTATAATAGCTACAGTGTATGCAAAAAGACAGAACCATACCTTTATACACTCATCCCAGGGACCTACTAACCTGATGACATTAGGACAAATATCTTTATCATGGAAGACTGCATATCTCTTTTTAAATTTCACTCTCTTCTTTTTTCTTTTTGTTTAGGATGTAGGCTTTTCATGATTATTACAGAGAATACCAGGAAACAAGATCATTAGGTCCATTTACACAACCCAATTTTTTGTAAACCATCGCTTTTTATTACTGCCATTTACACTACCGGAAAAACCCATAAGAGTGTTCAATAATTTTTTGGGGGGTGAGGAGGGGGGGGGAGGGGGGGGGGGAGGGGGGGGGGGGGGGGGGGTAAGTTGTGCATATATGCGCCACCTATCGCTGCCCTGCATGCATTAGCATGGAAGCGAGGAGATTCATGTGACCAAAATACCAGAATGATTCTCCAGTGTTTTTTAGAGCGAGCATTTACATGGCAAAAGACCTGAGAAGTTTCTCATTTCAGAAAAACACTCCAGAGGTATTTTTTCAATATGGGTTTTTTCGTTGTGTTTTGGGGTAGTGACTGAGCAACTTCCGACAAAACACCGGAATGTGAGAGAATGTGGTTTTCCTTGCAGTATAAATGCAGCTGTAGAGAAGTATCACAACAGGACCTAACCAATACCAGGTTGACCCAGGGACATACCCTGGTTGACCATACTATTGAGTTTCTCTGACCAGCCATTCCATGCCTTATCCAATAGTGATCAACAGGGGGCAGCAGCACACCTGTGGTGTTACTACAAGGTTATGTCACAGAAGATTTGGTTATTCCTCTTAGATTTCAGTTTCTGTTACATTCAAAAGGGTCTTTAATATCCTTTTTGTCCAATGGAATTGACCTTGCAAGCTTGCTTAATAGGTTTCCTGGGTTTTTTTGTCCAACCAAGTTTATACACATTGATCCCCGAACAAAGACCAACCTTTCATTAATGGAGTGTCATGAATGGCTTATATAATAATATATATATATATATATAATTATAATAAACTACAAGAACAAAAGTCAAGAAAAAACATTAACAAATTATTAATTACAGCCAGAGCCATTCCATCGATTTTCAACCTTCCTTCCTTCCATATATGTCATAAATGCCCACACAAAGGACAGAGTTCTTTTAGCAACCCAAATATGTTTGAAGTTGATCAGGACAGATTATATATATGAAAAATTGCACTTGAAAATTATTGATAGTAAAATAATAACATGAAATAAAAATATAATGCATTATTCCACATACCGGTATTGATCTGAAATATAACTCAAAGTGGCACCCATCGCAGCGTGGTAAAAACCATTACAGATACAATTTGTGTTCTTTAAATTTTAAAAGCCTTTTTTCCATTAGGGGATAAATTCTCATGAGCAGGCAAACACAATAAGAGAAAATGAAAAATGAAATATACTATGTGTGATTTAGGGAGAGTGATGATGCTTTCATGTTGAGTTGAGATGGTCGTCAACCTCCAGGGATAGGGAGATCAATCAGCGATCCGTATGCTTCATAATAACCAGGATTGTCGGCAATTTGTGAAGTAAAGGGAGTCAGCTGTTCTTGATCACATCAATAAAGGTTAACAGTGAACATTGAATAATGTCTCCTGGGGTAATATTTGGGATGCTAACCCTAGGGATCAAATTTACTCAACACTTTACTGAGCTAGAGAAACAATGCTGCAGAGTATCGGTAGTTCATCCTTTGTACAGACTATGCAATTTTTCTTGATCAAGGATAAAATTCTCAAGAATTGTAGCAAGCACAGGTGAATATATATAACAGAGTAGATGCAAATTTGCTGAAATTTAATTCTTAAATTGGACATTTTCCTTGTACTACTAGAGATGAAAGCGATGGGTGCATGACCCCCAGCTGAACTTAAATGACAAAAGTTTATTAAAAGGTACAAGGCTGAGTGATTAGGTGAATCAATATACATTTCATGCCCAATTACCAACTCCAATCCCAAACAGAGCTTGGTTAAATGATCAGAATAAACCTCTTTGATTTTTACTGAACAGACTGGCTTCATTGCAATGGATTGCATTCAAACTCACTCATTGTGAAATGAATATATTTTTCACCAATGCTCTAGAAAATAAGATATATTATAGCAGTGTTTCATGGGACCTCAACTTAGCCCATGTATTACATACTTGGTCAAAAGGCAATATCATTGATTTTCAGAGACCTATGAGGAATTATTTAAGAAATTTGCTTTCAAAACAATAACAATCAAATTCACCCATTGTGAGATGACATTCAATAACTATTAACTAAGAACCTTAAATAGATGTTGTACAGGATATAAGCACCTGTAAGGAGTTACTGGAGAAAAATTTGTTTTAAGTTTAAAACAATAAGGATGTGGATGTAGCTGCATAAAAATGTTCAGATGTTTTTACAGATTATTTTGTCTTTAAAAAAAATTAATTAAGTAAATCAAATAATGGAGATAATAATGGAGATAATAATGCAGATGGTTAATACTTCCTCAATGTACTTGAAAGTACAATGTGCTGAAATTTTGTTCTACAATCTAGTTCTCTTCTTCTTCTTTTTGTTTTGGTGTGCATTTGATGTAGAGGGAGAAGGGGATCAAGAGCAGGAGTGAGGGAGGGAGGGAGAATGAGAAAGAAAGAGAGAGGGTGAAAGAGAGAGAGGGAAAGAAAAAGAAGAAGAAGAAGAAGAAGAAGAAGAAGAAGAAGGATAGATGAAGGGAGAGAGAGGGAGAATAAATTGTGTGTAAATCAGAATTCATGGTGGTATGGTCATAATTGATCAAGATTCACTGTTTGAATGTGGGCACCTGTATGGTATGCTCACTAAAAACATTCATTCTCCAAATCCCCAGGTACATGTAAGCGAGGCATGCAAGAGGGTGTGTGTGTCTCCTTTTCAAAGCAATAATATCTAGTGATCATCACACTACAGACTAAACAAACGTATTTGTCAAGAAGCCAAATTATGGAAAGTAAAAGATTTGATGAGTGCCTCGAGACCACCCACTTGTGGTTGAATAGCTCTGAAAGCTAAGCTTCAACAAACCTTTTGTCAATACATGATGAAAGAAGCCTGATCAGTAGCATCCAACCACAGTTTTTCATGTTCTTAACAGGTAATGCTTCTTACATAATATAAACAACAAATTAATGGAGTCGTTATTAGACCTCACATGGCTTTTGAGGTAAGTAAGCCTTCAATCAAACATAAATACTTGGTATTCCATGAGGGGTTATTGAAGCAATTGAGACAACAAAATAATGTGTGCAAAAATGCGTCCACATCAAAATGGTTCAGGGCCTGATAAATCTAATAAACATTTTGAAATATGGGTCTGACAGAATTTTTTTTTTTTTAATTACCTTGTAATTAATCTGTTGAAAGGGAGAGATCAGTTCTATCATCAAGCCAGGGAAATAAATATCATTCAATTGCTTGCCCAATCAGGATTGGATTCAAGAGGGGGGGGGGCACAAGAAGCATATGCCCCCTCCCCTCCCTGTCAAATTCAGGATCTTCCCCTTTTTGTCAGTGATATAAATATTCTGTTTTAAATCTGTTGGGGCATTCAGGGACGTTCAGGGACATAAAACTCTTTATACCTGGCCATATCTAAGTTAATTACTACAATGTCTTGCCCACCACTTTTTCAATTTTATTCAAAACAGAACTAAATAAAAATTACATATTACCCTGCAAAGATTATTTTGGCAGTCCAGTATTTGTTATTATTAATGGTTATGCACTATAATAAAAATTATCACAGGGGAGAAACGTGAGAGAAGCCAAAACGGGAGTGATAAAAGAGGGGGGGGGATGAAACGAGATGGATGGTGTAAGTCAATTTAGTGCATTTAGTTTTGAGTTGATAAATAAACAAAATATACAATTGCCCCCTCACCCCCCCCCCCCCCCCCGCATCATATTTATCATCTATTGAAAACATAGATTGACTTTTAAGATATTTTAATACATCATCTGCTTACAGACCTTACTCATGATGTTACTTACCGAACTAATGTTCACCACGGCGGCGGCGACCAAAAAGTTGACTTCTTCCCCCCGAAAATCAGGACTTGCCGTCAAAGCGTACGTGTTCATCAACGAGTGGGTCTACACAGACTGATGACAGTCCGGCGCTGTGAATTAACTAGAGTTTCGCATCTTTTATCATCATGATATGTAATATTTTCTCTTGTCCCCTTTGTATTAATCACCCATGTAACGTCCAAAACGAAGAACCAGGCTCAGGGGTAAGATTTCAAAGACCTGACAATTAATTAGTGACAATGATTATCGTGAATCTTAAACTAGGCTGCTTTTGCCAGGCCAGCTGTATCAAAAAGGGTGTGGTGGGTGTGGCCGCCGAAGTCATGATAACCCGAAGATCTGAAGCATCGCACAACTTGTGCTTGGGATTTGATATTATACCAACAAATTAGAGTTCTTCCAAGACGCGCAGGTGTTTTTAAGGAGGTTCTGACGCCGGTCAAAACTATAAAGATTAGGAGAAAAATGATAAAAACACTGGGCATTACGATTCCTGGTGGTCTGCATCTTTCATTTTTCCAATACCGGTATTTGAATCCCGGGATTTGATTTGTTCACATCTTACCCTAGCTTATTCATAAGCATTTTGCTTTGTATCTTTGTCAAAATCAAGGAGATTGATGGAGGTGAGCTCCTGCAATCTCCTTGGTATCATCTATAATCTGATTTGGGGACTTGTACCTCCCATGATGTGTCCATTAATTTTCTGAATGCATCATACTCAGATGCCACAGTCAAGAATTTCGTTCGAAGACAGGTCTAAATATGCATCCACATTAATACTGGACAAAAGTTTAAAGGTACATCTATGTTTTTCTTTCATGTTATATTGATCTATATATGATCATTCCTTTCGTTAAAGTATGAGACTGGAAGGGGCGGGGTGTTAGTAAAATTTGGATAATTGGAGACAGAAATGTTAGCAAAGCCAAGGAGTTATCACAGAGCAACTCCTTGGTAAAGGTAGGATCCTAGGAAATAGAGATGGGATGGTAACAGAGGCAAGAACTTAATGCTGTCATGTAGGATAGAGCTCAGAAGTTAGCAGAGAAATTATTGTAACTGAAGCAGTAGAAAAAAAACCTTTTCACAAATGCCCACGTTTTACCTCTTACAAATGCCCCTATAAAAATCTGATGGGTGCCCCATTTCCATCGAAAAATGCCCATTTACCATTCTCATAAGTGCCTCTTTCATCCCGAGAGGAGTACCTCTTTTTAGGTATAAGACAGTGCCCTATTTTCACCTCTGATAATTACCCTTTTGTACTTTGACACGTGCTCCTTTTCTTTTCTGATAGGTGTCTTATCCTTTTTTGATAAGTGTCCCCTCTTCCTCAATTTCCTTTGCCCCTAATTTAAAAAGACTAAGAGCAGTTTCCCAAGAAGCTTGCTCGCTACACTCACTAATATTATAGGTGATATAATTATGTTACTTATCAAAGGTCTTTTCAGTCTTCCATTATTAGAATGTGCTGATAACCCCGTCAGGATTGGGTTTTTTCCTGTTTATAAGATGTAATATTTCGCACTGCTACCTTACAAATCTTAACATTTTTCCTCGTTCAAAAAAGGATATTTAGACCATCACTTCAAATTATGATGCAATATCTTGTATGATGTATAGAGAGAAACAAATATAGAAAGCATCCCAGGATAATGTAATCACAATGTAGGCTATAATGGTATAAGGGGTATATTATACCATCGTCTACAAAATTGTACATTTTCTCTTTGAAATTTCCTTTTGTAGTTGCCATTTTTTTTCTCAAGAAAGTTCCCTTTTTTGTTGGTGCCTCCCCCCCCCCCCCCCCCCCCCCCCCCACACTTTGGAAGTCGCTCTGCCGCCCCTGTATACAGGGGAGGGGCACTGCGTTGTCTCCTCAACGTTTGGCTTGTAACATCAGATAAAAGGAGGAGCTCCTAAAATATACAGTGGATGCAAGTGAGGGCGCTATACCAATCATTATTCAAAGAGATTCGATCATACACAGTATGTCCTCCGTAGGAGGACTAGAGGGCCAACTAAAATCGTGACCTTTGACATTCCATAGGTTTTGCATTAGATGCATTATGGGGGTTTTGTCCGATTTGAACGACGGTTTTGGAGGGTCAATGAATATTCATGAGCAATGACGTAAAAAATACGCCAATTACTGTTAGTTGATTGGCCATCGACAAAATGTTTTATGTATAAGGTCATGCATAAAACATTTTTTGCATTCCCAGAATTCCCTACGATTTGAGCACGAAAATGGCGGTTGTATGATCTGCAACTTTCAAGTTACTCAATTACGAACAATGAAACATTTTTCTTTTAAGTGAATTTCTATTATAATAGAAGTTTGTCAAGTACATCTCAGTGAAGCAGAAAATCTTCAGGCGAACATTGGCATCGAAGTGATATCCTATGATATCAAGAAAAGTAAGTAAAGATCCATTTTGTGTGAAGGTCTCTGAAATGATTGTGATGTGTTCGTCATTGCAGTGAGCGGCTCTCCGCATTGTCACAATGTATTACCCGGTTAACCCCCTACCCCATCCTCCTTTTCTTTCTTCTGACCAAAGAATATTAACTGATTGAATGAACTCTAATTTAAGTCATCGACGGTAGTATTTTCAGAAACAATCAGGATTTTACCGTAGGTTATTTCATTAGAGCACATATGTCATAATTTTAAGTTCAGTTCATAGCTTGATTTCCGATAGTAATCGGTCGTAGATGTGGACCTGTTGGAGACTGCGCGAATGGCTCATTGCTAGTCCAAGCCGATGAGATCTCGTCGAGCGGTTTATGATCTTCAATCCGTCGGTTCTAGCCGGCTGTAACACTCCACCAAGAAGCGACTGCGTTTCCTGAGCTGGCGCGGCTATAACTTACAGTGTGTTACTGTAAAGCCTAGGGCTAGGCTAGTATTCATAGCATAGTCTGGCCTGAATTTTCTGTCTCTTTTGTTCGTTAGCCTCTGATTTGGGTAGGGTCGGCTCCTCTCTTCAGCCGACCCTACCCAAATCAGAGGCTAACGAACGAAAGAGACAGAAACATTCGGGATAAGCAAAGCCTAAGCAGAGCCTAGGGCTAGGCCTAGATCTAGGTCTAGTCTAGACCGAATTTTCCGTCTCTTTCGTTCGTTAGCCTCTTATTGGGGTAGGGTCGGCTCTCTCTTTAGAGACGGAAACCGTCTATACACATTCCCTTGATAACGCCACGGCCATTTCAGGTCGTAGCGTTTTGCCCCCAAAATCCCCCAAAATGTCATTTTACCTCGTGCATATCCACATGTAAATAAGGCCTAGGGTCTAGGCTATAATTCATCGGTTCCACTTACCAACTTGACTGAAATAATCAGTTTAATAGTCCCTTTTTAGGAAATTATGGGTCAAAATCGAAATCCATTTTGAAAATCTTTTTCAACATGGATTTCGATTTTGACCCATAAATTCCTAAAAAGGGACTATTAAACTGATTATTTCAGTCAAGTTGGTAAGTGGAACTGATTTATTATAGCCTAGGCCTAATTTACAATATAACATGCACGAGGTAAAATGACATTTTGGGGGAATTTGGGGGCAAAACGCTACGACCTGAAATGGCCGTGGCGTTATCAAGGGAATGTGTATAGACGGTTTCCGTCTCTAAAGAGAGAGCCGGCCGACCCTACCCCAATAAGAGGCTAACGAACGAAAGAGACGGAAAATTCGGTCTAGGTCTAGTCTAGATCTAGCACTTAAATATAAACAGCATTTAACCCCGCATCTAGTATAGGCCTAGATTCTAGGCCTAATGCATTCTACTAAAGAAAGACTAAATAAATGCCTGGTGTAGGTGGATCAAATAAATGATGTGGAAGTTATGGAGAGGGGGGGGGGGTGCACAATCATTCTGTGCCCCCTTTTTCAGATGTGGCATAGGTCTAGGGACGGGTCTAGATCTAGGTCTAGAGCCACCTACTAATAATACTAAAAATAGGCAATTAGATCTAGATCTATAGCTTGTGTTATGCCATAGCAAAGAATTCCATAGCCATGGGTCTAGTCTCGTTTTTGCTCCACTAGACTAGACTAGTTGTGCACATGTGTCATTATTGTGATCCAGGTCCAGATTCAGCTTAGTTTGAATGTAGATCTAGATCTACTACTAGGCTAGATCTACCATCAACAACAAAAACAAAACAAAAAAGGTGTCTCCCCCCCCCCCCCCCCTCCCTCTTTCCCTGATTTTGCTCTTACTCATGTCATTGTGCCTTGTTTGAAATAATTAGTTTATTTTCAGGATTTTATGCCACCCCTTTTAGTTTTATGTTGGTGAGAATTCTGGATCCAACCCTACATATGATATGGATATTTCTTTCTCTATTAAAGGAAATGAACAAAGTTATAAACTGATAACTAATGCATGCATTTGATATTAGCAGGAACCTTACTAAGTTTATGTTTTCTTTAAATTGTAGATCCTATGGAACAAAGAAGCAGATAATGATCACAGAAGTGCAACAAAGAGCACCAGGACCTGATCATCAAATGTTATGGTGTAGATCTAATCAAGGACAGGACACCTAAGTTGAACTCTGGCAAGGTATGTTTGTATGAAGTTCGAAAATATTCAGACTGTATAATCTAAGCCCATGCGAACACCGCACTCGACTTGGACTATATACAAAGATTTGGGGAACTGTCATCTTGTGTTGCATTATATCTTGTAATTCTCATTTATTCTCTAGCTTTTTATTTAGGTGACAAACTATGGTGTTGCTACAGTTTATTCTCTCAGCATATTAAAAGACGTACTCAAAGGCATTTTTTCCTAAATATTACATTATATCTAACAAACTTTTGTTCACAAAAGTCTAGCAAATAATAACTTGAAATAAATTGGAAATTACTTTTAAAATAATTGGAAATACATCTAAACCTTTACTCTTCTTTTCAAAAAAGGCCCTATCAGATAGACATAAGTTTATCATTTGTTAATAAAATTAAAATGCAAGACCTAAACAAAGTCTATTTTTGAAAATCCAATATAATGCAGCAGTTTTAATCTTATTTGATTTCTCCTCTCTTTTTGTTTTTATTATGCAGGTTGTCCCTTGCAGAAGGTTTGATACCCAGGCTTCTTTTGTACAAGTCCCTAGTCCACCCTCATCTTGAGAACTGTTCCTGTGTCTGGGATCCCTACAACATCTCAGATGTCCAGGACGCTACTTCACAATGGGGACCACAAGTGAACCAGCAGTTTGACTGAGATGATCAGCACCTTTAGTTGCCTACTATATCTACAACTACAAGGCACTCTGCAAGAAGACTGGGAATGGTGCACAAGATAGTCGATGGTCTCTCTGCTCTCCCTTGAAAATTTTCCCACTGCACTACTTATAGCTACTTGCGCCCTCTATATAGCAAACAATGCCTAATCGGTGCCTGTTGGTCCCCCATGATCCTCTTTTTCTTATATTAATTGAGAGCTGATTTGATGAGATAACCACCTGTAAGTGACCTTGCAGGGTGGTCTAATCCCCCTGACCAAACTAGTACAGACGGGCTTTAACAAATCACGAGCAGGAAGTACCATGACATGACCCTCCAGTTGCACCAAGCCAGAAGCGACATAGACAAGTTTGTATTTGCCCAACACTCTGTCCCAAAGTTAATGGAACTTACTTCCAGCAAATATAGTGCATGCTGACAGTCCAGAGAACTGCCAGAGACTACTTCTGAGGCATCTACTCTCCTTATCCCACTTAGAAACAATCTATCTTCCTCACACCACTTGTAATCTTTAGTATTAATTCATCTTCGTGATAGGCTACAACGCCTTTTGAAGATTACCAGAAGAAGAAGAAGAAGATATATCGAGGATCATGAAAGTAATCATTTGTTCTTTTAAATGCGTGTACATGAAACATAGTTTTTTGATATTTAATCTTAAGTCAAGTTCTGACAAATATATTAGGGATGCTGAACTGGATAGTAAATTGAAGGGGGGGGGGGGAATAAAATGATGTAGTTCGATAGTAATACTGTAGTAATATAATTAATAACATTAATAATAATAACAATATTACAAATAGTAACAATAATGACAATGAGGGCCATTCCATGGTAACTTGCGTTACACTTAATGGGTACATTGACACGATAATGTGCCTATATCTTTAGAACTGCTAGGATCTACAATATACTTTTTTCAAACATGGACAGGGTAGATATAGAACAACTGAATGAAACAAAAAAAGAACATTGAAGAACAAACATTTTTAGATTCTTGGATTATTGAATTTCGGTAACTCGCGTTACAAAAAAAGGACATGGTCAATTCTACGAGACCCTCTTTTCTCCTCATACTAGACAATCTTGACAAAATCTTTCCTATTTTAATTTGATAGTAGGTTGTGACTTACTAGTATAAGATCACAATATTAAAGATAAGAAACAATGGACTAGTAAAATGCAGGAAGCAAATATGTCGGTAACTCACGTTACGGTAACTCGCGTTACATTTTGTCCGGAGGCCATTTTCACCCCTTTGTAATAGATTAAATATCACAGGACTCCTTAGAATATGGAAATATATTCATCTTTTTCCATTTAGCGAAATTTTCAGGAAAAAAAATTACAAGAATCCTGTGTAATCTGCAATAAATTGTTTTTTTTCAGCTACAGTCCCACATGTACGTTTTTGATGATAGTTTGAGATCTTAGGAAATCAACAAAAATGAAAAAAAAATTGTATTGAATTTGAAAGGCCCTAATGTTTTATGAACATCCATGGCATAAGGTTAGTGATAAATCAAAGAATTAACATAAGAGGTACATTTCTTTTTTTTGATGTCATATGTCCTTCTTCTCATGGAATGGCCCATGATCATGATAATAGCAGTAATAATAGTGATAATACAGGTAGTAGTAAAAACAACAATAATGTCCAATGTAAGATAAAGTACTCATAAAACTCAGTATATACCTGTGCTTTACATAATAAAATAGCATGTTGATATTATTGATTTTTTTTCTCTCAAAATCTACAGTAAACTTTTACAACTGAAAAATTTGAATTCAAGAGACAGCACCCCCCCCCCCTCCCCCATCCTTTTGTCATCCTTTTGTTGATGTCATGTTGGATTTAAAAAGATCTTTATAGAAACAAAATATGTTAATAAATGAGTTCATAGATGTTAATAAATTAGTTAATACTGCTTAATTCTGTTCTTTTCATTTTCTTATTTTGTGAAATATATGTGATGATGCTGGTGATTATGATGATGTAGGCACTCTGTAATGATAATGCTCTATGACTGAGGTGAGATGGGGGCTGATGCAGTCTTGTGTAGAATTGAGTATGGTGTTCGACCATTTGATGTTTGTTTATATCTGGCATCAGCGAGATAGATTTAACCATCTTTCCTAATGAGAGAGAAAGCGGAAATGTAACGAGAGTGGGCAAGACTAATGTATAAATATAATATAAAAAATGGTTTACAATCAAGATGAGGGGGGGGGGGTTAAATAAAGAATAAGTCAATGCCAAAATGATGAAAGCATAGGTAATTGGGGTGTGGATGGGGGAGGGAGGGTAATAGAGCCTATGGAAATGTCAATATTGGAAGGGGTCCCTGTATTGAAAATTTTACTGATGGGGGGGGGGGGGCAAATTTAAAAAATATCAGTGGCGACGAATGCAAGAATGAAAAGAACGAGACAAAATAGAAATTTCATTTGGGATGGCCGGGCACAATGCGAAGATCATTGAAGTCGAGGTAAGAATGATTCATTATTTGGACACTAAAAATATGAATATATCACTTGTTAAGTGGGCTAAAGGATCAGTGCAATTTTTCTGATTAAAAAAATATTTAAGTTAATAAACAAACAAAACAAAAAAGGTAAACAATGAATTGAGGTACCACAGTGAAATGGGGTCATTATTTTTGCCTTTTAACTGAACTGAATTAAAAAAAATGTACTTTCCATCCTGGTGACAGTGAAGTTTGTGGCCCCAACTAAGTCAACCATTTAAAAGTTTATTACCCCTTCCCCCCCCCCCCCCCCCCTCCCCTCCCCAACACACACACCTCCCCAACTCTGACCTTTGTTCTACATTTATTCGGCCCAAGGATTCTGTCGAGAGTAACGCATGCGCATTGTCTTTTTTTCATTACGATAATATGCTAATAAGTGGAAATGAGCTCATGAATATTCCAAATTTTAATTTACATATTTTACGCGCTGCGCGCAGTCCAAAATCCCCAATTCGCTGGTGCACTAAACATTTGTCGTCTTCATAGGCTAATACACGATAAGTGGAAGCAGTGTGCACTTTTGACCCTCCAAAATTTCCCCATGGCTAGACGGATGCAGAAGCGGAGTTGAACCCCCCTGTCATTATTCAATAAGCATAGAGTTTGACAAAATAATACATAGTAACGTTTTTAGTCTTAATGTCACCATAATAAACACATACCATTTGATAAAAAGTTCACATTCACAATTTAATCTTGGTACCTGCAGTGTTAATCTACTTTTTTTAATGAACATATTATTATATTTAATTGGCAAACACAATCATACTGTTACAGGAAAAAAAGTTATGTTAAAAGTGAGGGAAGCAGGGTATGCTTTCGAAATGCTCTTACTGCAAACCCAAACTAGGGTTAATCCATTAACTACTGAATTATCATATTCCCCATGAATTTAATACAGGAACCGCTATTGGTTTTTAAGAATGAATAAAACTTAGGATATTGCTACAATTCTGACAGTTTCCTACCTCACTAGTGCTACGTGTTTACTTGAGTACACTCATGGCTAATAGGGAGGCCTTTTATGTTCCATGATCCTCGTCCTTCAAGTGAGAGCTCTGGAACCTGGAAATAGGAAAATAGGATCTACTTAAAAATATATATCACAGCATGATCGGGCTTTCCCAATAAATGTATGGTTTACTCTACAAGATACTTTAATTCCAATCAACTATATCAACTTAATTGGAAGTGCATATAATTTTCGCTTTAAGGTTACTCTTTGTGCCCCCTTTTCTCTCCAAAAAGTGCAAGTTTTGCTGGTGCACTCCACTGACTCTACCAGTGGTGCACCACCGCGCTAGTTTGAGAAAGATCGCCCCCTGTGGTTGGCTATTGTAAAGCTTTGACAAACTTCGAAGTCGAACTCTGAAATCATGGCTCAAAAAACTTCTTTTGGTAATATATCACCTGAAACAGCAGCCTTGTTCGTGTGTGACATGCAAGAGAGATTTAAACCGGCCATTAAATACTTTGATGATATCGCAGTTGTGGCCAAACGACTCGTAAGTGTTGACAGTTTATGATTTCAAACGTAAAGTGAAGCATATGGGACTGGGTTTAATAGAGCCTCTGAAAAGCCAAAAGTTTCGGGAACAGTTCCTGGTGCTGATGGCTGTGCCGCGGTGGATTTCTTAGTAGATAGGAAACTGCAGTTGGGAGCAGGTTAGGAGACAGGATTGGGAGTTTGATCTTACTGCAACTTTGATTATGGCTCTAATTTGGGCCTAAGTGTACTATTGCACCGCCTTAAATTAAATGTGATTGTGTTAATTCTGTTAAAAGGATCTACACTAGACTCTAGACTAAAAACTTTTAAAATAGAAAAACATTGATTGACCACCACTGGCCCCCGGCCCAGGGGCACACATAGGAGTAGACCTAATTTTCCGTCTCTTTCGTTCGTTAAGCCTCTTATTTGGGTAGGGTCGGCTCTCTCTAACTCTAAGAAGAGAGAGCCGACCCTACCCAAATAAGAGGCTTAACGAACGAAAGAGACGGAAAATTCGGTCGAACATAAGAGCATCACTATCCTGGCATCGGCATGATTGTGTGCAGTCTATGCAATATTGTGTGGTGTGAATATTGTGTGTATAGGTCTAATAATACCTGCCTCACAGCAAGTATGCAGTGCTAGAGGTCAATACGCCTTAACATTGACTCTATGCTTTGCTGGAGTGCCCAGGTCACTCCCAACATGACTGACTACGCGCCCGCGTCCAGAAAAAGCGGCGAAAGGGTGTCTTTTCCAGCTATACGGCGGCGTCGATATTTTCCTTAACTAGGGGTGTTTTTCAAGCACTGATCGCAGAATTTGTGTAGAATATGAGAGATCGAATATCACATTTTGTAATATGTTCAAAAATGTCCGCGAACTTTGGTCACCCCTTCGTACTCTATAGACTATAGTATAGCCACTCAGTCAAAGTCAAGGCTAGTCACTAGGCACTATGTATGTATGATTAGGTGACCAAGATTAACAGGGATTTTTGAAAATATTAGAAAATGTGATATTAAATTTATGATTTCTCATATTATAGACTATATGCTACACAAATTTATTTGTTTCAATCAATTTTTGGATCAGCGTGTGCGCTCAGCGCTGCATCTAAAAAAAAATCATATAAACAACGAGGCCTTTCTTGGCGTATGGGGGTTTACAGCCGTTATAGTAAAAGAGCCATCCATCAAAAATAAGGTAATTTCATACAATCATTTGTTACCACTTTTTACTTACAATTTTGAAGATATCTGCTCTCAAAATTAAGATTTCCAGACCCTTATAGCCTAATCGGTAAGTAAGTAATTTTTTGGAACAGACGCAAATGTCTGCAAAATTATCTGATCTTTTGTCAACATTTTCATAATTTCATCCCCAGTTTCGAGGAAAATTCCCTCTTTGGGTAATTTTATGTTCCTCTTTCCATTGGTGATATCAGATTTTTTGAGTTGGCGGACTTATAATGTAGGTCACACGCGAATGATGGTCGCACCACCATAGTAAGTGTTGCTGATGTGGAAAAGAGGAATTTTTTTTTAATCAAGACCAAGAAAAGAATAGAAGAATTTTTGTTGTTGATAGCTAGTCAACCCCCCCCCCCCCAAAAAAAAAGGAGGTAGGCAGGACAAGAAACTAGGTCCTCTAGGAACCATTTTTACTTGGCCTAATGTACACCTGATATATATATTTTCTCCAGAATCGCGATTTTCACACTAAGATAGGTCTTTTCTCTGCACCTTATTTCACAGAAAAAACTATATCATGTTTTAAAATGTAGGTGACTGGTGTGAAAGTGCATTGGCACCCTAATTTGTATGTTTTCAACTGTCACTGTCAATGAGAATGCTTAGCATTAAGGAGGCGAGTTGGCTCAGTCGGTAAAGCGGTCTGCCTGTCGAACCAAAGATCCCGGGTTCGACTCCCACCCAGGCAAAGACTAAAGCCTGCGTTGTGTGTTAACGTACCCCTTCCCTTGTTCATAGATGCAGGTTATGTCAAGTGGAAAACTCTCTGTCCCTCGGATAGGATGTTAAATGGAGGCCCCGTGTACAGGAGAGTCACCACCATTGCACGTTAAGAACCCATTGCACTATTCGTATAAGAGTAGGGGGAAACCCCGGTGTAATGATCCACTTGCATACCCCAACCAGGCCGAGTATACGGCATCTGCAAGAATCTTCAGTATTGAAGGAGGCAGATTATCTTGAAGAAGAAGAAGAAGAAGAACCATTGGTTTGCCATCCTTGAATAATCAGTAATCAAATATATGACTTTGCAAGTTTGTATTTCATCTAAATGAACTGAGCTAACTCCCTCTCCACCCCAACACCTGTTGTGATTTAGTTCATGTCCATGTACATGTATGTCCTTTCTGTATTTTGTATATGTTCTGTTTTGAGCTGGAATCAAAGAATATTCAAATCCTGTTCTTTTTCTTCTCTTTTTCATGCAGATTGAAGGAGCCAACATCTTGGCTATACCAGTCATTGTAACAGAGCAGGTATGAGATGGAAGATACATTAGACTGTTTTGGCAAAAACAAAAACAAACAAAAACAAAAATTTAGCATGGTAGCATGCTAAACCCGTTTGTAGAAATCTATGTGATGATAACATTAAAAAGTATATTCAATTTTGCTTGTTATTGGTTCTTTTACAAAATGTTGACATTTAACCATTTAAATTTGTTGACATAATGTCCTTAATTCAAGTTACCGGTATGTCAAATGAGATGTAAAGGTAACCAACTCCATTTTAGTTTGTACTTGGCTATCCAACTGATAATATTGTACAACTTCTTATTCATGCAAGTTGATCCTTTGTTACCAGGGCTTACTTCAAATCCTCGTGTCGTGTGGGGCGGTGGCGTTACCCGACCTTTTGTGAAAACATGCCCCGTTATTCACAAAATGTCACGGGTAATGTTTGTGAAATAAAGCCCTCTCATGTACAAATGGTCTGGTCCAATTCACCCGTTACTTTGTGAAAATCCTACAGCAAATCTATGTGTAACACATTCATCCGACTGGACGCGATGACCCGATGATTTGAAGTACGCTGTTACTAGTAACCATTTTCATTCTGTGATTTGTTTCACCAATGTTGTAATGCATTTGTTAAAGTTTTTATTTACCTCTACATAGTACCCAAAGGGACTTGGACACACTGTAGAGGAGCTGGATATCAGTAAAGCTATTGGTGTTTATCCGAAGACCAAATTCTCTATGGTCGTTCCAGAAGTTGAAGCACAGCTCACCCAAAATCTGACCAATGTGAAATCCATCATTCTTCTTGGAATCGAGGTGAGGAAGAGAGACATGAAATTTAATTACTTAAAGGCATCGTTTAACAATGTTGAATCTGAGATGCATGGCCCTACGTGTTATCAGTATCTGTGATATGGTGTATTATTGAAACCCTACAAAATTGCACTTCAAAATGATCAAGAAGTGCCTCAAAAAAGTAAAAATCTTTGAGTGACCGGTTTTACCATACCCATTTTCCCCAATAGACTTTATAAAAAACTGTTAGGTAAACGAAAAAATGAAATTTTGATTTCCAATCATAAATATCTTGATAATCAGACAGGCGATCTGCTTGTAAAAGTCATGGGATTCCTGACTGACCTAAAGGTTCATAATTATGATTGCAGCATGAGCTAAATGCAGGATTTTATTTCAACATCTGAGGCAATGTTACTGAGTCACCTTAACGAAGGATATCATGTTGTTTGAACATTACCTTTTCAATAGAATTGGATGGGGATTCAGTGTCTGTAGCTTCAAACCAGTTTCACGATCATATAAAAAATGATTGATAGATTTAATTGAGGAGAACCAATATCAATCACAGATTGAAACTTGAGCCACAACTTTTTCACCTGCAATCTTGTAGGGGGCACTTATTACAAAGTTCTGATTTTAAGAAACATGACTTTCACACCAATGATACCAAAAACAAACAAACAAAACAGATATGAATTTATATCTCTCTTACTGAAAATTTCCTTCTTTCCACAAGAGGAATAGTAAGGTACTTTTGATTTTATTTATTTTCACCACTTAGCCTGAGATCTATAATAAGCCAATGAGTATGTTAATGTAGTAGCATATGATTGTATCTCGCTTTTTTTACGGATCAGTGTCAATAAAATGATAGGGTTTGGTTTGATTTGACTTACAGGCCCATGTGTGTATCCAGCAGACCACTTTAGATCTCTTAGCCAGAGGGTATGAGGTTCATGTGGTAGCTGATGCAGTCTCATCAAGGAGTATGATGGACAGACAATTTGCCTATGAGGTCAGTTCTTTCTTCTTCTTTTTTCTTCTTCGTGTTCTTCTTGTTTTTCTTTTTTACTGAGATTCCTAAGTTAATTGGGTTTTCATTCTTTTTTCATTCCCAAAATATTTGTACATATTTATGCTTTTGTGTCGATTGTAATTGTAAATTATTCTCATTTTTTAAAACAAAAAGTAGATATCTAGGAGTCAGGAGTTAAGAATGAATATTTTTAGCCTAAATGCATGTTTCCAAATGCCAATACACCCTGTAACACCTATTTTGGTAACATATCAAAATCAAGCTTATTAAAGGATGTCAAATTTTAATCAAATTTCTTCTTTGCTTTTGGTATCGTAGTAACTCTTATAAAGCAACAGTCATTTGCATCTATATTACATTGCAATAGATTTTTACTATAAGTACACGATTTAGTCATTTAAATTCTATAATGTATCATCTTGATTTTGCATCACAGAGGTTACGTCAGTTTGGAGCCATTATCACGACCAGTGAATCGGTACTCTTCCAGTTGCTGGGAGACAAAGATCATCCAAAGTTCAAGCAGATTCAAGGCTTAGTCAAGACAAGTGCACCGGTCTCTGGACTTGCATCAAATATGTAATATGAATTAGTTACCCATCTTGCTTCAAGTACCATGCAGTGATGTCGTCATTGTATCATTCTTTGGCTTGATAGACAATGTTGTTAGATAATTTAATCTAGTCCTTGAAAAAATGTGAGATACTGTCTGAAAGGCATGTATGTATTGAACAATTTGAGGGAAAAGTGGAACATTACGTTAGTGATATATGTTTATTCATGGGTGTCACTACTCTATTTTGAATAGTAAGTGTTTGACCAAATTTCTCATCAAGTTCATTAATATTTCCATCAATCAAATGTATGGAGAACATTAATTGGCAGACAGAACATTTGGGGAGTCGTTACATCCCGTCTAGTGATGGCCATGTCTACATTACAATGATTATTTTTTGCTTTACTCTCTCATATGATTGTAAGGATCATGATATTAAAGGTAATACAAAGTTTTAGTATGGGGTCATGAATTTGGTTCAAATGAACATATTAGAAGCATATGCGATCCTACAATATTCAGTGATCGTTGTCGCGGTTGAAATCAAGTCTAAAGTTAGGAAATTGGAAATAATGAACTCTTTATGTTGTATAGCTCCCTCTCAAGGCCAAGATATTAATTAAGCTATAAAACCATATTTCTTGACTAAAATCGACCGATTGGCTATTCCCGTTTGGAAATTATATATCACAACTACATTTTCTGAGATTTTCATGGTCGCAGCTACTATTGTACGGCCGTAGGCGCTATTTGAAATTTATCCAAATTTACCGGGAGCACCGGTAAATTGTTATATTCAATTTTCTCAAAAGCAGAAGCATTTTAGGGACTAAATTTTCTATTGCTTATAATGCATCCACAGGGGCATCCAAATATACCAAAATTGTAAAGAATCACTATCCACCCAATTTTCAAAATTTACCAAAACTTTGTATTACATTAAAGCGATGCAGTAATAAAAAATGTGTAAACATGGAGCTCTACACTCTTGTCTATCATCTCATACAAAAATTATGACTGTTATTTCAGTAAGCTAGCTAATTCATATCTGATTGTGAGAATCTGAATGTAGATCAGATGTGTTAAATGTATGTAATAATATATACTGCGCCTAGAAACAAAGTATTAGGCGTGTGATACATGTGATCTATTATGTTTTGAATTAATTTGAATGAGGATTTTGTAATATTTTTTTGTAACATGTAATATGTAAAATGTTGTATGAAAATATTTGTTTAATAGTAGCACTTTAATAGAAACTGCCTGCAATCGTGCCAGCCTTTAATATCAATAATATCTCATAAGTAATGTCTCAATTAAAGCTTGAAGAGGTATAGTCTACATGTCCACCCATTAAAAATGAGGAGAGGCTACTTTGCGAGAAAAAATAAAAATTGAAGGATAGAGAAGTAGTCCATGTATTGCCTATTAGAGGTTCTCCAAATGTCTAAATTCATCTCAACTCAGAGCATTTAGTAGTTTTGCCAGAAAAGGAAAGCTAATATGTTGATATATATGACTAGGATAGATCAGATCCTACAGGGCCTGTTATACAAAAACTAAATTATTGTATCGCGTAATAGAAACTGGTGTATTTTTATATTTGGATTTGCTTTTTATAAAAATGCAAATCAGTAATTGAAAGATTGCCAAGATAGTTTAAAGATATACAGGGTGTACTGAATTATGTATACTGTGTCAGTGGTTATTTTTGGTTCGTTTATGTTCGATACTTTGTACTATGAAATTAAAAGAGCAATATTTTTGTAATTATATGGTTTATCTATTTCCCTATGTGATAAGGAAAACCAATAAATGAATTGAAAATCACATTTTTTGTTGTTTTTGTATATATTGTGCAATTGCGAACAATAGCCAGTTTAGGTATCAACTGATAATTGTTGATAGCTCGTGACACCAGCAGTCCCTGTACAGGAAATCCCCCCCCCCCCAAAAAAAAATACTCATTTCATCCTATTTCTTGATTGTGTTTTTTTTTTGTCCATCAAATAATATGTAATTCCTTGCAAAGAAAGTGTTAAAGAGAGAGAGAGTACACAAAGGGGGGGGGGGGGGGGGGGGGGTGTAGAAAGTAAGATGGCCCTCAATTTGGAAAAATCAGAGGAAAATGGATTGATGGGGGAAAAACACAACAAAATATACCAAAAGGTCACATTCTATATAAGTGTAAGATATATTTATTTTGGAATATATTTTATTTAATGATAATTTGAAGCAATTCTGCATAAATTTCAAGACTGGTAAGGCACATTTTATCGAAGGCACATATCGTCGCTGTTTTCACGAATTGACGGTAGTGAAAAAAAATTGCATTCACTTTGCGTTACGATTTTCCTCACTACCGTCACTTCGTGAAAATAGGGACGATATTTGGTTAACAATGGTCAACACTGCATACATTTGAAATTATTCACAACATATCTCTGGCCAGGTCATACCTCAGTCACACTGCTAACCCTACTCAACACTGATCCCAAACCGACTGATTCTTTTACCATTCAGTGTAATGTATCTTTTGTTCAGTCTGGAGTCGGTCTGGAGTTGGTCTCTTTGGTATGACCTGGGTATAACGTATTCTAGTTTCTTCATTTAAATAATCAGAGCAATGGGGCTATCCATTTCAAATTCCCAAAGCTGAAAAAAGGCACATTAATTCATTTATGACATAAGGCCCCTCAAGGACAACCTATAAGCACTTAAACTTAAGATGGTACATAATTATATAGAGTTCACTCACAGTGAAACAGTGAAGAATATACATGTATGATAGTTAACGCAATATATTAAACTTCATTTCACCTTCATTATTTAAAGAATTGTATAAATGTACATTTTTTGGCAAAGAACATGAAAATTCACTAACATGCAAAATCACAACCCTCAAATCCCTTAAAAAAAAAAAAAGGACATAATAATATTATCTGTCTTGAGCCAGAAGGGCATTAACTCTGTGTTGAAGAATACGAGTTAACGCTCTTCTGGGTCTAAACAGATGTTATCACAGCAAAATCAATAAAATAAGCTTTCAGATGTACATATACAATGAAGAGTGAAGTTGCATACTGTACCTAAAATGACAAAGCCCATATATCCAAAAGATGCATCATGTTTTATTGCTGGTACACCTATGCATAGCAGATTATTTTTGCATCCAAACATTCATCATATTTACACCTTATATGCCGGACAAGTTGTTTGGCCCAAATTGCATGATTAAAAGTATATTACATAAACTCAGATAATAATAAAATTTACACCTTTGATATATATATGTACATATGTTACTGCTTCTTTATGGTTGTATGTACATAATCTCACAGTAGACACATGTACATATACCATATGTGCACTATTCACATGTACATGTATGCAGGACATTGGCCAATACAAAGGCATCCTCTGAGCTGCATTCTAGAAAGATACAAATGTATGAACGACTCTGTTTATGAGGAAAATCCTCCCTTAGTAGGCATCACAAATTGCATACAGGTTGCATGTAGATTTACATTAGTAGTTTGGTTTATTTTAACCGTCTCTGATCATCACACTATCTCATTATCTCAATAGTCACTACCGGTACATTGATTACATTCTCCTCTTATCAACAGCACATATACAAAGTAGAGAGACTTGTAGATTAAAATCAATGTCTCAGCATTGTACAACTACATATTTGGCAAAAGTCATAGTCACACAATTTGCATAACATGTGATACACCTACAATGTATAATGGTTGATTTTTTACCCTGCAAAGGCTTTATCTGGAATACCTGAATAGTTTGATAAATTACATGATGAAATGTTATCTTTCATCAAGGCTGATTAAACTGAAGTAGAGTTTAAAAGAAAAAAGGAAAAAAAAAATCAATTCAATACCAACCGAGTACATAAAACAAGAATATTGTACTTTGTAATAACATCTAATTAGTCCAGGAAGTCCAATAAATCTAGGGTGACCAGATTTTTGGCATTGGAAGTACAGACTTGGTGTACACCTGTATAATCTAAAAGTAGGACTTTACCCTGTACATTATGTTTGTACATGTACATGTATTTGTGTTTTCTGATGGTAGGCAATCTCTCTTTTCAACAATTTGCAAATCAAAACCAATACCACAAATAGGATTTCCTGGAAGACACAAAACCTAAAAATATGCAGTATGTACATTATACAGTGGTCATGCTACTGTTTCTTTCATCAATACAAAAGAAGGCACTTGTTCAAGAAAAAGAAATTGTCGGTTTCCTGTATGATCTCTGGAATATAATGAATCAGAATGAACAAAAATAATTTGTTAAATATACAAATCCAACAGGAAATGAAACTAAATCCTCATAGGAGCAGCACAAGTTGATCAATTTCCAGGACATTAACTCAGAAATTAATTCATGTTTCAAAAATTCAACAAAAAAGATAGGTTAAAGATACAGAGAATTGCCAGTGTGAATTTCCCCATATCAATTAGTAATCGTATCAAGATTCTGCTATTATCACAATACCTTTTCAAACCTTTACTTCTCTGTTCATACAGTGTATTGAAGAAAGAATATCTTTACAAAATAGAATCAAAAGTCTACAGATACTCCTCTATAACGTAAATGAATATGAAAGGACAAAAATAGATAATAAGTGTACTAGTAATACTAGAAAGAAAAAAATTGTCCATAAAGAACAAGTGTTATACATGTACGCTACTGAATGAAAACAGGAATATCTTGACAAAATAGAATAAAGTTTACTACAATTTGTCCTTTATACTTTGTAACTGAATATGAAAAGGAGAAATTTGATTAAAAGTGTACATATGCAGCGCTAGAAAAATATGTCCATGAAAAGCAAGGCACTACCTGGACTGGAAGGGCAACCGCTTAGCCTTAGATGGAAGACTAAAATATCAAGAAATGTGATTGGTGAAAGACAAATTTCTGAAGGCATTCAATAATTTTGGATAATTACTTGAAAGATGTCTTCGCTCAAACTGTGGAGGGAATCCAGTACAATCTCGCCGAGAACAGATAATTAGAGTATTAGACAATATACACCATATCAAGAATACAATGAATAGCTCTGGAAGACCCTTGTGCAGCAATGAGAAACCTAGATTGACAATGTTGACATCTCTGCAATCTTCACTTTGTATACCAGTAATCACTTTGTTCCT